GGATATGGTCGTGGTATGAAAATGTAGTCCTGTGTATTTCATAATTCTGAGAAGAGCATAAGCATACGTAGGTTTGCAAGCATATAGCTATTTTTATTTATATAAGGTTCCTTAGATATTATGGTACTTCTTTCTAGAAATTGCTTGCCTTCATCAATTTTTTCTGTCTAGCTTTAAATATTGTTCAGTGTATCCTAATTTCACATTTTCTGAAGTTGAATATTTGTCCCTAATCCTATTCTTTTCTTACGCTTCATAAGTAAAGTCAAATCATAATTATTATCAATTACCAGTAATGTGGCATAGGTTTCGCTTACAGAGGATTTAGGTAGCCGATCTCTACATCATACATGAAAGTGTGTTAGAGACATGGGTACCAGTCCCTACTGAAACATCCAAGAAAGATCAAGTTAGATTTTCAGTAATGTATGCTTTTTGCAGGAATGTTTATTAGTGAAGAAATAATACAGGTAATAGAGTGAGTCATAAAATGAGTTGTAACATTTAAGGCTCTTTGAGATTCAGAAGTCAGAAGTGTGACTCGTACTGCAGCACATAGCAATTTGTATTTAAATGTCAAAAAAAGGGAAACTTATATTTGTGTACTTTGCTTGCAAAATAAATTTCCACCATATTGGGACTGTCAAAATAAGGTCCTACTGAGGAGGCTGTGCAGTGTTCAGCATGCTCCTTTTCTTCCCACATGCAGTTTGGCCCTCACTTCTTGTCACTTGGATTTCAAATGTCTTTAGACTATGTTGAGCTATTTGGACTTCACTTTCCTTTAAAACGAGCTTCTCTAATTGATTTGAAGAATTAGATGCTTCTCTTAAGAAATATTTCAAGGAGCAAACATGAGCAATCATCATCTCCAGTGACAGTATATATAATAATTGTATAATTCTCTTTCTGTCATTCAATGGTGCAGTTAATATTGGCACTGAAACTATTATTTTAAGGTTATTAGGATGAACAGAGCAGTTTACACCTCTAAACTGTTTGTTGATTCCAGTTTGCACTTACATCACTTCTTTTTCAAGGTTTTCTTCATGCTCAAAAGATGCATGAGGTATATCTTTATTTTATTTGGAATAATAGTCAAAATTCTATAAAATAGCATGAAAAGCTGAGACATGGAATATGCAATGCTGTTACATTCAGCCTGAACTCTGTTTCAGATAGTCCATGCTTGCTGTGAGACTCTCTGTCATGCTATTTGACCTTAGCACTGTTTTTCAGTGGTGAAAATTTAGCTTGTTAACAAAACTAGGCTCTCAACAATATCATGAAGTAACCTGTATATACTAAATACATATTATTTATCAAAATTATGAAAAACTGGTGTCTTGATTATTTCTATACATATTATTTAAAGAAGACAAACTTTTTTTTGCATCTAGGCTCCAGGGAAAAAGATCATCAAACCAATAAGGGTAGTTAATTAATGGCTAAGAAGAAAAACTTTGCTTTCATTGAGAATATATTTTTACTTTTTTTTTTCCTTTTGAATTTCTTCTGTGCTCTATTATTTCCATTTCAATGGTATTTACCTTGGTATAAAGAATGCCTATTTTTCTGTATATTTAAAACAGCTAACACAACCAAGCCCCACTTTATTCTCTATGCAATAGGCATAGTTAACAAAAATAGGAGATAGATACTTTTTTTTTTACACTATGCTGATAATCTAGCTCTCTTATTGGTATTAACAGGAGAGTGTATTGAAAGTCAGTGTATCCAGTAACCTCTCTCTATATATATATTCCTTGGCATCAAAATTGAGTCTAAAGTATTTTTGACAATGCCTGAGTCATTTTGTGTTTGCTTTTGGAGTGGAGATAAAATTGCTTGCATAAGGACTGGATTCCTTGTGGAATTTCAAAATACAGTATCATGACTAATTTTTTATAACTATGGTAGATGGGAGTTATTTATTACAAAGCTGATACTGCATGCGAAACAATAGAGGACATATTAAAGGATGATTTTGCTGTGTTTTTTTTTTTTTTTTTTTTTTTTTTTAAAGCGTATAAATGATTCAGGAGTGATTAAACACTTGCAGGCCTAACTCAAATGGAAAATTCCATAGAACTTAGGCTCCAAATTTACTTTGCAAGTTTGAATTTAAGCATTTTTATCAAATGGTTTCATTCAAGTTTCTTGTTTCTGGGTAAAAGAACCCTGTAATAACTTTGAAAAGGGGACCATCTGAGCTTAGACTCGAAAAAGCACTTAAGACACCCATCTTCCTTTGGAAGTGGTAGAATAATGTGCCTCATTACTTTAGGACATTTGGTATCCACCTTCACATATGCATAGGTTACTAAATAAATTTAACTATCTAACTGTATGTCTCTATTTCTATCTTTAAAAACCTTCACAGGTATGGGTTATGGTCGTGGTATGAAAATGTAGTCCTGTGTATTTCATAATTCTGAGAAGAGCATAAGCATACGTAGGTTTGCAAGCATATAGCTATTTTTATTTATATAAGGTACCTTAGATATTATGGTACTTCTTTCTAGAAATTGCTTGCCTTCATCAATTTTTTCTGTCTAGCTTTAAATATTGTTCAGTGTATCCTAATTTCACATTTTCTGAAGTTGAATATTTGTCCCTAATCCTATTCTTTTCTTACGCTTCATAAGTAAAAATAAATTCCTCCCCCCCCCCCCCCCCCCCCCCCAAAATATTTCATGTGCAAGTATTGGCTATATATATTAAGGACAAAAAAACCAACCAACCAACCCTGTGTGAGCATTTCTTTAAGATTCTTCTGTTTTCTGAAATTCAAATTAATTGAAAATTGCTAACACTGTAGTGTTAATTAACATTGCCATCTACAGAGTAGATATATGCTGTTTGATACTCAAAACTTAAAATAAGGGGAAAGTTTATGTCTGGGTGTAAACTTTAAAGTTGTCATTTATTTTTAGTTTCTTATGTAATAGGTGTAAATATGTTGGTGACACTTATTTAAGAATAAAAATCAGATGCTACC